AGTCTCTTATATACGGGTTTGGTCTATTTTATATACATTAACACAGGCTCTAATTTGGGACCAGAGAAAATCTCTCTTATATCCGGGTTTCTCTTATATCCGGGTTACACTGTATATATATATATATATATATATATATATATATATATATATGCGTGTGGGTATGTGTGTGTGTATGTGCGTGTATAATCCCTTTTCTCATATATACTGATGGTATATGTATAAAATAAATGCAACAAAAGTAAAGGAAAGAGCCATTAACAAATAAATTATATGTATTGAATAAAAAAGTTCTTTTTAAAATTATTTAAAAGTCAGTATATGAAAATGAAATGCATTTTATTAAGTAAGGAAAAAAAGAAAACCGAATAAAATGATATAAAAAAATGATCATAAGATGAATTTAAAATTCGAATTTCTTTGAGAATTACAATTTATCGGCACTGATTTAGCGTATTTGTTTTGAACTCATCCGGACAAACTAAAAATGGAAACAAGATGGTGGCTGAGTGACGAGAATCGGAAGTCAAAAAATCTCGCGTGGTTTTAAGTTTTTTTTTTTTATTTTTATTTTTTTTTCAGTTGAAGAAACGCTTATTTTTTGGGGGGAGAAAAAAATTCGATGTTAAGTATAAATGAAAAACTATTGGTTTTCTTTTTCTTTTATTCTGGCGATTAAATTACTTTAACCGTGATTTCATTCTTAAAATGAGTCGTAACTTCGTTTGTCATTCTCCTTTTGACCTTCACTTACTTTACAATCAGTAATTTATTCGTTCAGATCTCATATGCTTTTTTTTTTCATCTTCCTTATATATTAAATCTCATTTCTTTACTATTTACTTCTTGACCATTAACCCTTTTAATTTTCATTTCAATTCAGTTTCCTTTAATGCATTTATTTTTTTATTTTTTTATTTCTTTTTCTTTTACAGTGGCCTTTTAAAACTTTTTTTCAGTTTGACGTAGTTTATTTTTCTTACGCCTGTTCTTGAAGACGTAGATTCATTTCATGTCTTTTCTTCTGTCTGTTTTCTTCCTTTCTTTCATTTTTTTTTCTCTTTTCACTTTCTATTGTCTTTCTTTCCATTTTCTTTCTTAACACTCAAATTCCTTATTTCATTTTCTTTCCTTTTTTCTATTTTCTTTCTCTCTTTCCGTTTTCTTTCTTTCCATTTTCTTTCTGTCTCTCTTTCTTTCTATTTTCTTTCTTTTTTCTTTCTTTCATCTTTCTAATTTCTTTCTTCCTTTCAATTTTCATTCATTCATTCATTCTTTCTTTCTTTCATCGTTCTTTCTAATTTCTTCTTCCTTTCAATTTTCTTCTATTCTTTCTTTCTTTCTTTCTTTCTTTCATTCATTCTTTTTTCTTTCTTTCTTTCTTTTTCATGATTCCTTGTTAGAAAAATGTATTCAACTTTACTTTGTGTTCATTCTTCCGTGGGACATGTCCCTTCAAGACGTGGGCGTTCACGGCTCTCCACAATTTCCTGTTCCTTGTGGCTCTTTGTAAGATTTCTCTTTTCGATATCTCTTCCAAATCCTTTTCTGCTAACCAATTTAGTACGTTATAAGTATTCTTTTCGTTTACTCACATGAGCAGTCCATGGTGTCCTCAGGATCCTTCTGTAGAGCCACGTTCATTATAAGTTAAATCGTATTTCTTCACTATTTACTTCTTAATCCTTAAACCTTTTAATTTTCATTTTCAATTCAGTTTAATCTTTAATCTTATTTCACCTTTTCTCATTTCTTTCTCTTTCTTTTTCAACGACGTTTTAAAAGACTTTTCTCAGTTTTACATTGTATATTTTTCTTCCGCCTGTTCTTGAAAACCTATATTCTTTCTTTATTCCTTTCTTTTTATTTTCTTACTTTCTTCTCCTTTTCTTTTTTCCTTTCCTTTTCTTTTTTATTTCCTTCTTTCTTTCTTTTCGTTCACTTTCTTTCTTTCTTTCTTTCTTTCTTTCTGTTTCTTTGTTTGTTTGTTTCTTTCCATTCTCTTTCTTCTTTCTGTCTTTCTTTCTATTTTCTTAATTTCTTTTCCATTTCTTTCTATTTTCTTTCTTTCCATTTTCTTTTCTATTTTAGTCCTTCTTTTAAATTTTCTTTCTTTGCACTTTCTTTCATTCTTTCTTTCTTTAATTCTTTCTCTTCATTTGTTCATTATTTCTTCTTTTTTCTATTTTTTTTTACTTTCTTTTCCTTTCCTTTTTTCTTTCTTTCTTTCTTTCTTTCTCTTTCTTTCTTTCTCTTTCTTTTTTTCATCATTTCTTTCAATTTTCTTTCCAATTTCTGTCTTTCTTTCTTTCTTTCTTTCTTTCTTTCTTTCTATTTTCTTACTTTCTTTTCCTTTTCTTTCACTTTTTTCCATTCTCTTCTTTGTTTCTTTTCATTTTTTCTTTCTTTCTATTCTCTTTCTTTCCTTTTTCTTCTTTCTATTTTTTTCTTCCTTTAAATTTTTTCTTTGCACTTTTTGTTTGTTTATTTCTTTCTTTCTTTTTTCTTTCTTTCACGTCCCTTCTTCATTATTTCTTCTTTCTTTCTTTCTTTCTTTCTTTCTTTCTTTCTTTCTTTCTTTCTATGATATTTTGCTTCTTTCATTTCTTTCCGTCATTGATGGATTACTTCTCTATTTTTAAATCTTCTATTTACAAAAATCCTTTTCGTTTGAGAATAACTTTTCTTGTCCCCCAAGCATTTAATTTTTCTCATGAATATTCTTTCTTTGATTCATTTTTAGTTTTTTTTCTTTCTGGATTATTCTTCTCTTTTCTACCCAATTTACCGTTCTTCCTGAATTTACGACTTGTTTTTCTTTTCATTTTTTTGTTCTTTCTCTTGTTTTCCCTTTTTTTTTCCTTACTTTGATTGATTCTTGGATTGCATCTTTCTTCTTTGGTCGTCGCAACTTTCCACCTCCTCACTACACAAATATTGATCATCATTTGTTTACTTTCTTTACGTTCATTTGGAATTCACTCCTGTCTGTTCATTTCTTCTTCTTCTTCTTCTTCTTCTTCTTCTTGTCTGATTCTTTCTTTCTTATTAACTATTTCTTTCTTTCTGCCTTTCTTTCTTTCTTTCTTTCTTTCTTTCTTTCTTTCTTTCTTTCTTATTAGCCTCTTCAGCACTTTTTCTTATTAGTTTTCTCAACTTTCCTTTGAAAAGGCTAATAAGAAATTTGAAGAGGCTTAGAAGAAAAAAGGAAATAAATCCTTCTTTCTTATTAGCCTCTTCAAATTTCTTTCTTTATTTCTTATTAGTTTCTTAAAGTTTCTTATTAGATTCTTGTTATATATCGTACCTATGAACACTAATGGGTATGTCCCAGTCCTCATAAATACGTTGTACACTATTAGTAAGTAGGGGGTATTATGCTATCTAAGTAGTCCATCACTGGTAGTGGTTTACCTACTTCAGGCCGCTGGCGAGTATTGTATTTTGTTGATGTTATAAAGATTACCATTTCATTTCCAACCTCCGTTTTGGTTATGCCTCATTCAATAACATTTCCTAGGTTACAACACTTTTTCAAAATTCTTTCTTATTAGCCTCTTCAACTTTCTTTCTTTCTTTCTTTCTTTCTTTCTTTCTATCTCTTAGCCTGTTCATTACCTATCTATCTATCTATCTATCTATCTATCTATCTATCTATCTATCTATCTATCTCTTAGCCTGTTCATTATCTATCTCTTAGTCTGTTCATCTATCTATCTATCTATCTATCTATCTATCTATCTATCTATCTATCTATTATCTATCCATTATCTATCTATCTATCTATCTATCTATTAGTTAATATCTATCTTCATTATCTATCTATCTATCTATCTGTCTCATTATATTAATATCTATCTATTCATATCTATCTATCTATCTCTATTAATATCTATCTATTCATCTATCTATCTATCTATCTATCTATCTATCTATTAGCCTGTTCGTTATCTATCTATCTATCTATCTATCATCTATCTATCTATCTATCTATCTCATTATGTTAATATCTATCTATCTATCTAATTCTGTTAATATCTTTCCTTCTTTCTTTCCTTCTTTCTGTCTTTCTTAGTAACTTCAGCTTTCTTCCTTATTAGCCTCTTCAACTTTCGTTCTTCCTTCCTTCCTTCCTTCCTTCCTTCCTTATTAACTTCTTCAATGTTCTTTCTTTCTTTTTAGGTTCTCCTACTTTTTTCTTTCTGTCTTAATAGCTCCAATTTTTTTTTCATATTACCTTCTTCAACTTCCTTTCTCTCTTTCCATCCTTCTTATTAGTTTCTTAAAAATTCTTTCTTTCTTTCTCATTAGCCTCTTCAACATTCTTTTTTATTAGGTTCTAGACTTTCTTTCTGTCTTATTGGCTTCAACTCTCTTTTTTTCTCATTAGCTTTTTCAATTATCTTTCTTTCTTATTAGCCTCTTTAGTTTTTTCTTTCTTTCTATTTCGTGTCTTCAAATTTCTAATTATTTTCTTCAACTTTCTCTCTTTTCTAGCAAACATTCCATTTCTTTCAATTTTCCCCTTAACTACATATTCGTTTCTAACCCAAGAAAATAATAAGTTTCCAATATGGCCAAGCAATAAGAGTCCCAATCCTTTAAAAGGATTTTTAATTGGCTCTGAGTGTTTACATGGTTTCAGGGAGTATTCCTTCTGTTTATCGCCTAGAAAAAAATGATTCTGAACTCCTTTGACCTTCACGAGCGCATCGGAGATTTTTGAAATAGAGAAAAAATAGTATCACTTAATACGTTGTATTTAGTCATTAAGTGGGCGTTTGATAAAGCAGCGACCGAATGTTTTAAATTCGAAACAATTATTATCATAACATTGTTATACTATTATTGTTTTTTATATTACATTATTATATATTATTATATATTGATTTACTAGAACTAATTTCCTCATATTTCTTGTCATCATAACAACGTTTCGAACATTTTAGTGTCCAGCCTTCTTCAGGTGTAAGCCGTGATAATCTCGGACAGCTGCGGTTTACGACTGTATCACATTGAAACACCGTATCTCGTAAGATCACCGAAGTTAAGCAACGTCGAGCCAGGTCAGGACCTAGAGGGGTGACCGCTTGAGAATACGAGCTGCTGTAAGCTTGGATGTGCTTGGATAATGGTTCGGAATTGTTAATTAGATAGCCGAGTTCAGGTACCATTTGGGTTCGTTATATTCACTTGCAGGCAAATTCCCTGAGCAAAAATATGAAGCCACCTCTTGTGCCACTTCCAGATGTGGTTTGATGGATAAAAGATGAACGGGGGTTCAAGACAACAGTAGATGGCGATTGAAGTTGCATTTAATTTTTTGAAGATTGTAGTTTTCAGGGAAGCAAATAAACGGAAAGTAGGATATATACATAAAACTACCTTCTCTCTCTCTCTCTATATATATATATATATATAATTTTGTTTTCAAGTCAATAAAGAAAACATTTCTTAATTTTAATTGTTAATCCTGCTTGCAAGTCAATAAAAGTTAACATTTCTTAATTTTAACCATTACGTTTTTTTGTAAGTCAATAAACATTAGCATTTCTTAATTTTAACCATTAATCTTGATTGTAGGTCAATATACACTGCATTTATTTACATTTAAAGATTGAGTACGTATTTGTTGGAAAACACTGTGTAATATAGTCACAACTCTAAGTAGAATCTTATGAATTAATTGTGATGGATGCATTCAAGCCAGAGAGGAGATAGTATATGCTTATTATTTTTTTCTATATCCGATTTATATATATATATATATATATATATATATATATATATATATATATATATATATATATATATATATATATTTGAAACTTGGTTATTACTGTGGAGCGAAAAAAATATTTTAAATCAGCTAATTTATAATATTAATGCTCTGTAAATTTACATTGAGCAGTATTTTGTAAAAAATAGAAATATCAATAAGAACACCGGATTATATATCTTACTGTTCTTTTATATATATATATATATATATATATATATATATATATATATATATGTGTGTGTGTGTGTATGTGTGTGTGCGTGTGTGTGTGTCTCTCTCTCTCTCTCTATATATATATATATATATATATATATATATATATATGTAAATTACAAAGTGAAAAAAATCTTTCCTGTGACAGGTTTTGGTCTTTAGAACGTCATCGAACTGAAATGATGTTTATGTTAATGTAACTGCGCCTGCGCACGAAGTAGATGGGACGCTAGAATTTTAAACTTTTCAACTTATTTCTTTTTTTTTTTATATGTGTTTTTATTTTAAATTTAATTTCACTTTGTTTATGTTTTATCACTTTTGTAATTGAGTATCCCACATTGTAATAATCGAAGATATGTCAAGACAGGTGAAATCTTGTAAGAAGCTGGACGCAAATTTACTGTGGAGTATATAGCGATTAAAGCAATTTTATACCCTTTCATCTTAGCAAATTGCTTTCTCTTTTAATTAAAATAGCGTTTTTAAATTTGAATTATGGTCAGACCCATTAGGGTGAGTAACTACTTGTGTGGGTTGTTATTGTAAGTGTTTCCTATTATTTTTATATAATCTTTTATTTAAATTCCATGATGTTCTTCTGACAATTATTACGAGTGACAAAATAAACTCCTCCTTCAGGTTTTAGCTTTTTACTATTTCGTTTTGCGTTAATAAAGTCATTTATATTTTTTAGAAGGAGTTGCAAATAGATTTATGTTATGCTTAGATACATTCTTTTCAATTCTAGTTTTGATGATGTTACTTGGAAGTATATTATCTTGAATCGTTGGATATGTCAGAATGGACCACTCGTCTATTTTGAAACATTTTACGAGCTTTTTGTTAATAAATAATTAGCGTATTGGAAGAGCTTAAAAGTAATTTAAATGTATTTCTCTTCATGTAAATATTGAGAACTAAAGATAGAATTCGATAATTATATTGGATTTTAATTTGTTACGGTGAGAATAGAAATTTATGAGATCATTTCTCTACGGTGATTTACGATGCGCACTTAGTTTTAGGTCATTGTCTTAGTACTGTATAATATAACATCAAGAAAAATTAATGTATTATTTGTTTATGTTCATAAGAGAATTCTCTTGACTTTATTTATCTCCAATGTACTTTTACGGCGATATATTAAAAAAGCATCGAACACAATAAAAAAAAACCTTCTTAACAATAGCCAAAACATAAAAACTTTCCAACTCGTCATCAATCAATGCTGTTTACCCTTTATCGATAGTTTTTATAAACAAAAAATTGGATTAGCAACGAGTTCACTTATGAGTGAGATTTTTTCTTTGTCTTGTATCTGATCCTTCCCAGTGCAATTTAATTAAACAATCAACATATTTCCTATACATTGATAACGCTCTGAACACTTGAACCGAACGGCTTTGTAAAGCCGGTATCACTCAAACAAAAAGCCCGAAAATGCCTATTTCTGTCTCAGTAGCACAATTCTTGAAAGTGTAAGCCATCTAGAAGATTTTTGAACACGCCGTTACAAAATCTCACACAATAATTCAACATCTGTGGATACTAAAAAGCTTACTTGAAGACTGATTTAGTAGTCAGAGTACAAGCGCTGTGGGCTTCTTTCGATTGAACAGTCCGGAAAATTAGCGAAACCGCCATTTATAATTTTTCATTACGTAAAATGCTATTTGTAGCATTAATATTAACCAGTGAATTAAGTAAATTTACAAGGAATGGCGTTATATTGAAGAATAAATATTTGCGATATAAAATAGCACCTATTGCATCATTAGGTTAGTGAGATATTGATGCACATATCAAAAATAAAATAAAAGGTGTCTGTGCGAATATGCTGACAATATATCGTGTTCGCGTGCGTAAGATTTTTTTGTTCTCATTTCTTTCGGAGAAATTCTTTGAATCTTCAAATCGATGTGTTTACCGGATTCTGACTCTAGACTTTCATATTGAACCTCTTACGCACTGAACACCAAAGCGCAAGAGATTTATCGGATCTTCACCGATTTCCTGGCATTCATGATTCCAAAGACTTTCCGAGTTAACGATTTCCACTGACTAACCGAAGTCATGGACACACGAAGTCAATAAGGCATCACCAGCTTACAAATCCATCACCATTGTTCTTCGTTTGGTATTCTTTAAAAGATTCCATCTGCTCTGGTGTTAATGAAGACCTGGCGTTATGATTTAAAGAGATATAAGTTTTTTTGCGCCGTTCAGAAATGACTACAGGTTTACTACTAAATGTCTCTCTTTTGTGAGCGTAAGGTGGCCGTTAATAATTAAGTATAACTCAAGACATCAGTGTTAAGATAAACAATATTTAACCGCATATAAATACTTAACAAGAACAAAGAAGTAAAAGAACAAAGAAGTAAAAGTCATTTCAATGAATGCCTTGTTAGCAGCGTAACTCGGTCACCTCATCCAGTAAATCTTAAATCAAAATCATCGACGCAGAATAATTCACACTAATTCGACTGGATAGTTCCATTCAATAATCACTCAATAATATTTAAATGTGGCACACGGTCAAATTGGTGGGGGGGGTAGGGAAAAAGATGGACATCTTCAGTCTTAAAGTATAACTTAACTAGACCCAAACACTGACCCAAATATACAAACAATATTCCTTTCTCCAAAACAACACGTTCTTACTTAGCATTCTTACCTCATCCATCATAATGCCTCAGAAAATCTATGAAATCCTAAATAGTCTCCATATGTACAATTCATTGTTTGTAGAGGGAGGGGAATAAAATAACAATTTAAAAATCTGACAACCCCAATCTGTATTTACAAATGAGTACAAAACTTAAACAAAATAGTGTTAGTAATAACCACCACCCCACACCGAATAGTCACTCGCTAATCATTACAGTAGCCTGACATCGCTATTTATACACTTGGCGGAAAAAAAACATATATTCATAAATCCAAAGTGTCACGCTCGAACCTCGGCGTCGGTAGTTACTCATTTTCTTGCTATTTGACACTCTTGTCACCAAGACATAATTTATTTAGTTGACGAGACATTAACGCTGTCATTTCTTTCCATGGTTGATCTTCTGTTAAACAAAGACTGAAACGATTTTTAGATTGGTTATTAAAGGAAAGTAAGAAGATAGAACTAAGCTTTACCTGTAAAAGGACAGAATGGTGATTTTCTAAGCGTAGCTTAGATGTGGCGCAAGAACACCCAGTGAGAATCAGTTGTAATAACGAGACAATCATGATAACCATTATACCAAGTTGAAGTGCCCATGAGACAGAATACATGGTTGACAGTAAAAGACATAGTTTTAGGCGTGAACTACACACAGAAGTCAAAAATCAATCAGTTACAGAAATTGGAATTTTTTTTTCCTAACGTATAAACAGATGTCGAAAATTGCGACAAAGAAAGCTGGCCGTCCATAGGAATAGACAAAGGTAACTTAAGGAAATAATGTATTAAGATTTTGATGAGTGTTCTTATAAACAACAAAAAAGTGTTGGGCTGCTATATAATATTTCGTCTCCTATAAGGCTGTGAAATTTGAACAAGCTCGTCACAAATCGAGAACAACTAAAAGCCACGGAGATACGGTGCAGACAAAACATGTGAGTAGCGAGAAATTTTAAGAAGGTACGAAATGCTGGGAAACTGTTTCTGATAATCAGAGGGACATATTTGAATTTTCTGTAACTCATAATGATGAAAAAAGTTTGGAATATCTACACTACTTTCTTTTTATGTGCCATGTCCTTTCAGGACGTAGGCGATCGTGGCTCTCCACATCTATCTATCTCTTGTAGCTCTCAACAAGTTCCTTCCCTCTGTTATCTCCCCCACATCAGGTTATGTCATACACTTGTTTAAGTCCGCCAGGTATGTCACACGTTGTTTTCCCTTGCCTCTCTTTACCTCTATCCGACCCGTGAGCATCAGATTCTCTGGGCCCGCCTTCCTCATTATCTGTTCCAGGAAAATCTGCTGCCTGTTCCTGATATCAAGTATAAGCCTCCTCTTTGTTTGCAACCTCTTTAAGATCTCATCGTTGCTCACACGCTCGGTTCATGATATCCTTAGCATCCTTCTGTAGAACCACATCTCTGTCTCCACGAGA